CCGTGCAGCCAAGTTCCTAAATCCTTTGAAAAATCTTCCCCAAAGAGTGGAAGCTGTAACAGTAGCAGATTAATGCCCATGGTTTGAGAATGAGATGCTCATCAGTCACATACTGTATGGGTGTCATGTTCAGGTGTCCATCATACTTTTTCCTATTTAGCTCATGAATGCAATGTATTTCTGTAGCCATTTCTCAAATTTGGATGATGGAGGTTCCTTGAACTTGCCACCAAAGAAGAGGTTTCAGAAAATCTCTCACTCAAACATTAAAAAAAAAAAAATGGAGCCTAAATATATTATCTTAATGACTCGCATATTTATAGCAGGTTTTTAATTCTCTGCAAGCTATTTTTCAAGCTGCACTGAGCAGGTCTGAAGCTAATGGCAGCCTGTAAGTTTGGAGATGATTTGAAAACATTCGCTAAGCTTTAGACATTGGTCTGTAAGACTTGTACTTCTCGCGGTCTTACTGTTGACTACCCAGACATCCTCACTGAAGCTGAGAATTTATGTGTGGCCATGTGGCTCCATCTTGTGGCTGCTCACGCACGTTTCTGTCAATGCCGCTGTAGGACACCGATCTTCCATTTTGTGGTTTTTGTGAAGGAGATTCCACACATTCTTAGTTTGCCGATTCGTGTATTTATGGCATCCAGCGTCAAGTTGTAGTCGAGGAAAGATGCTGATCGTAAAACTTTGTTTATTATAGATAAAATGTAGATTTTCAGGAAAAAGAAAAATTTAGTTTCAATAACTCGCACTATTATTTTCTGTTTTCTAACACAAGCCGTGGCTTTTATTTGAACTCCAGCACCTCTTCGCTTCAACACAAACTTGAGTTTAGTTGTAGAATCTGTTAAATCTTTAATTATTCATTTATTATTTCCTTCAAGTAGTTGTTTATTCATTCAATTTATTTTGTTTATTGTTTGTCATTGTTTTTCAGTTAATTTATGGGCGCTGTATTCCCTCCCACACACGACCATGGATTTGTCCTCCATCACCATAGCAACGACAACACCTGTTTATTTTTGTTTGTTTGTTTGTTTGTTTGTCTTTTTTTTTTGACATTCCATCTTGACATTGTGCACATGGACCAAAGACACTGAGGATGATGATGATCACGATGAAGCCACAGGGGAGAAAAGAGTGAAAGATGGCGAGAGATGATGAGGAAACATGTTCACTTGCCAACAGTGGCCATCTCATTTATTCAGGATCTTTCATTTCTGTGTTTATTTTGGACACTTTTTTTTTTTAAATATATATATATGCATTTTGTTTTTTCTATGTTGTGATTTCAAGATTTTCTGTTTTCTTGTGTTTTACCATCAACTATTCACACAGAAATGACAGGTTATAACCCTTCAACTCTTTTGATCTTTTGGTACTACAGTTTAACACACCAGCTTAACATATTTGAAACTGTCCAACATGTATTTTAAAAAAAAAAAAAAAACTAGGGGTCTGCTTGATTTCATTGATCTCTTCAATTTAAATGTCAGTCCTACAAAATCAAGTCTTTCCGAAAGTTTTTTTTTTTTTTTTTAAATATCTTGAACTGTTTGAAATGTTGTCCAAGTGTGGTGTGTCTGTTAACCTCTTTGTAATCATGAGACTTTAGATTAAATACATTTCACACTAGAATAAGTCCCTATATCGAATGAGCCCAAATAAATAATACATTTAAATAGCAATATGTCAAGCAATAAAACTGAGTACCTGTATACTGTATATAACTGCATATACATGGGTACTGACAACCTAAATCTTAGTCTTAACTCGTAATAAAAACGTATGCAATATTCTGGTGCTGTTATATATTAACTCAGTAAATATATGTGAATATTTTCTCGAGCTTACGCAGCCTAATATGCAAAATGTACTAATTTTTGAATATGATATTATTGTAAGAAGCACATATGACGGTGTACATTGTCCGTAAATGATGTAACTTTATTGTAAACCATGTGTGATCGCCTTGATGTGAGTCTTGTGACAGCGTACACACAGAAACATGAAGCCAGTATATACACACACAAACACCCACACACACACACACACACACACACACACACACACACACACACACAGGATGCAGGAAAACATACAAGCCTCAGCTCGCTGTAGAAGAGTTTACGCTCAGAGATGGAGACGAGAGCAGCTGTATTTACTGTCTGTCGTTGGAAATAAATGCACCCCCTCCCCCCCTCCTCCCATCCATCCTCCTGACTTTGATGTGTCTCTCTCACCATGATTTGTTTGAGGATATTCAACTGAGAGGGAGATGAAAGTGAAATACAGGCAGGTGATGACACTTATTCCCTCACACACTCACACAGAGATGACATGCAGAGGTTGTCATCTTGAGATGCAGTGTTTCCTGTTTAGCAATCCCTAGCTGCAGAGCTGACTGATGTTTGCTCAGTCTGCAAATAATCCGCCCCGCTTTCGCCACCATGCTACTGACCTCAGCTGGGTGTATGTGTGTGTATGCCCAAGACAGCACGTCTACAGTGTGTTTTTTTTTTTTTTTTTTTTTTTCCCGAGGAAGAAATGTGTGTGTGAAAAAGAAATGTGTGAAATTTATTGACTTTGTGTGTCTGTGGAGGAAGTACAGGATGTGTGTGTCAATGGGGGATTATGTTGGTTAACTGTGTGTGTGTGTGTGTGTGTGTGTGTGTGTGTGTGTGTGTGTGTGTGTGTGTGTGTGTGTGTGGTTGTGTGTGTGTGTGTGTGTGTTGTGTGTGTGTGTGTGGGTTGGGGGGGGAGGTGGTGGGGGGTTGCTGTTTAGAAACCACATGGCTGCATCTCAACACTCAGTGCTTCCACAGTTCATCTCCCTCTCAGCTTTTTCTCATTCTAGTCTGAAAACAGATCAAATAGTTGGTAACTGGATAATGTATAATGCTTACTCATTTAAATATTTATTGGTAATTAATAGTAATAGGTGAAGATCAAAAAATGAGAATAAGATATATTTCCAATCCAGAAAACATTCATTTTTTTGTGTATTAGGCCTGCAACTAACAGTTTCATCAACTATTAATTATCCATTTTCACAATTAATTGATTTATTTTCTTGGTATGTAGAAATCAGACAACTGTGAAAAATGCTCATCACAATTTTCGTAGAGCCCAATGTGACTTCTTGAAACGCTGAACAGTCCAAAACTACTGTACCACGGTACAACCACTGAAAAGCAGTTTCTTCGTTTGTCATTTCCTGCATTAGTATTTATTTAACTTCAGAGAATGCACGAGTGATTCACTGAAAACAAGGCGGGGGGGGGGAGTCATGGTACAGTATTGAGATCTTCCGATAGTAATGGTTCTCTGTTTACTGTGAAGGCTCTGCCAGCACTATTATTATTCTGTCCACCACCTGCAGGGCTCACTGGATCTAATCCAGCAGTACAATCTGTTCAGAGCTCTCTGTTCTCTCTGTGCCGTAGTACACCAACACACTCTGCTAACAGAGCAGAGTGATAATGGCTCTCTGACACGCTGTTCTACATACTGTACATGCTGCACATACAGGAGGTATAATGCTGTGGTCGAACAGTATGTAGACAGGCTTGCGTAAGAATTAGGAAGTGAGAAATGGGGTGTTAGGTAGTTGATAACCACACATACCACAATGTATGGAACAAGTTCACCCATCAAACTGCAGACTATATAGACATAAAATATTGGACTCTGGTAATTAAAGAAGCCCGTTCCCACCAGAAAAAAAGGAAGGCTAGGAATGATGAAAACAGAAATACACCTGGCAAGGAAAAAATCAAACCTTTGACTTACTAAATCTAAATTATAAGATAGTATCTTAATTTGGATTCTTTATCAAATCATTTCAGAATTATGAGACACAAGTCAAAATGTTGATTTACCACAACTTTGACTTACAGAAGTATATATTGTTATAACTGCTCTGTATTTTACCAGATGTCATATTACATTGTTGCTGTTTTTTTTTTTTTTTTTTTACATATAGCAGTGTCTTGTAATTCCATGCGTCATTGCTAAATGTTTGACATGACACAGAAATAAAATTAACTTTGAGTGTTATGTTTCTGACATTCTAACAGTAGTCTGACAACTACTCTTAGTGTACATAAGTTTAAAAAGCGAGTTTTATTTCATTCCACGCCTACATCTCCTTCCTTGTCAAAATGTGGCGCATACATTACCCACAGTGCAACTCGACCACCAACAGTTCAGTCAGTCATAGCCCTCTGCTCCAACTGACGATGAAATTTATAAATATTTCACGCCGCTCCCTGTGGAGCCACGAAAAGAATACGTAGTAGTTCTCCCCAAGACCCTGTGAACAGATTTCAATGTGTGAAATCTGTCGTTCCCCTTTAAATCTGATTTAGAAAGTCAAAAGTTTAACAGAGTATTTCAGCGTTTTGTTCACTGACTTCAATTTTTTTTTTTTTTTTTTTTTAACCCTTTGTGTTTTTGTCCTGCTGATAATGGACTTCCATAGATTAAGCTTAACGGCCCTGCACACCCACACAGGTGTTTCCAATTACCCTGGCTGATTAGACCTCTGCCAGAATGAAGTGATGCCACTGAACTGTGTACGAAGAGTAATGGCAGTGTTAAATTGTCTCACCCCAGCAGGTGCAACGAAGAACAGGTGAATGGGGGAGGTGTAAATGAAGTGTAGTTTTTAAGTCCTGAAAAAGAGCCCTAATCAGGCATAAGTGTAAACACCTGCGTGGGTAGACTGCAGCTCTGTAGGAGCATTAACACTCTTAAAACAATCCATTAGTATTAAATGTGATTTATAGTGAAACACAAATCATGTCAGTATAATTGTATCTCTATAGGAACAACACAGGAGAGTGTTGTAAACTTCACCCATTTTATATTTTTTCCTTCAAACTTGGGACTAAACATGGCAACCTTTCAGTCACAGGGAGGCTTCTCCAACCTGCTGCTCCCTCTTGAAATTGACAAACAAGAAAATAACACTTTGGACTTTTGGAGTCTTAGCTTTATTTCTGTCGATATAGCTGCCTCAGTATCAGAAGGAATATGAAAGATAAAAAACAAACAAAAAAAACATTTACATTGGTCACTGCTGTAACATCCACTCAATCGTTGACTGGATGAACCTCAGCACACTGAACCGTAGAGAAAACAGACAGTAACCAGTTCACATTAAAGATCTCAGTGCTGGCTTCCCTCTGAACACAGTGAACTGTTCACTGTTTGGCAGTGGAGGTGAAGTCCCTGTGGACACGCTGCATGTTCATGTAATCAGCCAACATTATATATAAAGTTTCAATCGAAATGTGTCAGTAACGTGATGAAACTGACGACAGAGCTGACAGAGCTGACAGAGCTGGGTTATATTTACAAAATAAAAAAAAACAGGAAACTTTTATCCAAATACTTCAATATCAAGAATGTTCTGGGTATGATTATTGGTGATCTCATTAAGTATGTCATCATAAGAAAAATATATATATATTGAAAATTTAAATGAGTACAATGATGCATTAATCACTGATCAGATAATCTCATGATGTCAAAATGACCCATTCTTTTTGTCATTCTGCTCTAGTGTTGAACTAAACTCCCAAAAGGTGCTCGTGTTTGATATGTAACAACAGTTGCATAAAGTAAATCAAAACAGGCTGAGGAATCAAAAAAGGAATAAAAACATTTGCAGCATTTAGTCAAGAAATTAAAGCTTTTTTTGTGAAAAGCTAACTTTTGTAAATAACTGGTAAATAAACACTTAAAGCAGAGATGTTTAGTACAAGTAAGTAAAAGGTTAAAATAATAATAAAAAAGGTGAAAAAATAAAATTATTTGCATTAAAAAAGAAAAAGAAAAAAAAAACTTTTTTTTTTTTTTTTCCAAAGTGCTATGTGGCTCTGGTGGGGAACCTGAGCACCAACATGTTTCACAACAAACAAAACCTCTCAAACATAAAAAAGCCATTCTTGGCCTCAACCACTCATAAAAAACAAAAAAACAAACAACAAACACACACAACTGCCTAATTCTTATCCTTCACCTCCCACCAGGGAAACAAAACAATCTGGTGGATATAAAGGACAGGAAGGTTAAAAAGTACAACTTGGCATTAATAACAATAATAATAATAATAATAATAATAATAATAATAATAGGTAGCGAACATAAATGGACCAATAACTCTGCACCAAAGAGAAGCATTTCCATTTCAATTCAGTCAGGCTCAAAGATTCCCCACAACTGCCCAGCTGTCAACACAGAGAACAGGTCATGTCCACACACACCTTAGGATTCACATTTGGTCGACAAGTGCACAGAAGGGACTAAAACGGGTATTTAATTTGGCCTTAGCAAAAAGAGAATTTCTACCTTTATTTACTCAAATCTTCTGAATCAATTCCTAAATATTACAACAGGTGAAAAACATCAGGATTTAAGTCTATGACCTTAGAGCATCAGTGAGCTGTTTCGTGGGGTACTAAAATGTGCTAATTGACTTCATAACATCATAAATGTAGAATAGGGGGCACCGTGCACTTGTGAAGAGATGGGTGGTGGGACTAACCATCCTAATTGACAGCGGGGTGCAGCGGCGGGCAGGGGGAGACGTTTTTCTGCTGGGAATCAAACAAACCCTCGACATCTCTTCCCTCCACACCCGGTGTCGTCTCCTCGTTATACAAACACCAAAAACCGTCGTAATACTCATCCGAGTCCCCCTGCTCGCCGCCGCCGCCTCGCCGTCCCCTCCTGGGCTGCCTGAGGTGCTGCGTGGGGCTCCAGACTCGCTCCTCCTCCTGGATCTGGGCGCTGTCGAAGATGTAGACGGCGTTGGCCGGCAGGGACAACTCCAGGCTGTGTAGGTACTCGTCCACGATCTCTTTGCAGTGGATGAACTCGGCACTATCAACCTGAAAGAGAGAACAAAAAGGTGTGATATAAAAAGGTCAAATACTCAAAGCTGGAATTGGATCAAAATCAAAATTTACCTTTCAAAACAAATGATTTTTGATTTCTAATCAACATTGTGATCAACTGTGGTCATTTCGACGACACAGGACTTCACTTGTGCACAAACTGGGTGAAACAGCAATTTCCAGACAAGTTCCCTTGGTTTCCTCAGTGTGTGAATGCAGCCGAACGGCCGATTTAACCAAACGTGTGTGTGTTGATTTTTGGCAGTAAAGAGCATCACTTGTTCAATTCTTCAATGTACCAGCATGTGCCTTTAATGGTGTGCCTTGATCCAAAGCACCCTACAGTACGAAGCTGCACTGGATCAACTTGTTCAAGTTTATACTTGTAATGAAATGAAATAGTCTGGGATGTCTAAATATAAAAACAAGGAATTACAGATCTGTGGGTGAAGTGAATAGATCCTAATGCAAACGTGTACGTCCTTCACAGCTAAGTCAATATGTAAATCACTCCAGTGATTATATTGTGGATTCACAAGTATTTGTTTGCTTCAGTCATTAGTTACCAACAGGATGCACTCGATTTCTGAGCATTTTTAAGGAATTAATTTTAAATAATTTGAATTTAATTTTTTTTTTTTTGCATAAAACTATTAAAAAAAAAAAAAAAAGATTGTTGATAGTTATGAAAAATATTTTTAAAATGATTAAAATTGTATTCTCAGTTGGACATTTTACGGTTGTAAAATGTTACTATCTGATGATCTAACTAATGGTTTCTATATTAACTCAAATTGATCTTTAGCATTTCTGTGCTGCAGTTTCTTGTTATTTATATTGGCTAAAATCAGCTGATAATATCAACACATGCTAAAGTATTGATTGGGCTCTGGTACACACTTTCCCCGTGGGTGTCTTGTATGTCATGCCCTCCTCGCAGGGCTGCGCATTTTTCTCTTACCTGTGCTTTCTTCAACAGGTCGGTGAAGACGGAGAACCAGTCGGGCGTGAGCGCCTCCAGCTCCAAAGTGATGATGGCCAAGGCCAATGTGGAGCCCTTGAACTGCCAAAGCTGGTGGCAGGCCATACAGTGCTGCACCTGTCTGGTCCACAGCGCCGCCTGGAAGCCCGGAGGCCTCTTCTGATGCCCCGGCCCGGCGGGACGCTCACTGGGGTCCGACGCCGGGTCCCAGCCGACGCCGGAGCCGAGGCCGATGGACGGAATGAGGTGGGGATGGCTGGAGACGAGCAGGGCGTGGAACTAGGATGGAGATGGACGGAGAAATGTAGAGGAACGAGACCAAAACGTTAGCATAATGATGTCATAGTTGTCTCATTATCCATCCATCACTCACCCCTTACATCTACTACTTAATAATTTCACATCAACATCAAGTAGACCTGTGCATATCTGAGATAAAGGTCAGCACATCATTCATCCCTCCATCCTCATCCACCCGGGACACTGTCTCGTCGCAGTCTGCCATTCTCTACTGTTCTCACGTGTTCTCACCTGCTGCTTAAGTTAGGAAGCGGTGTGCAGGAGGACACCTTGAGCAACAGACAGAGAATCTCACCATCAGGTTTTTACTAATCAAGCCCCCGCCCCCTCCTCCCCTGTTTGCCTGAGGAATCATAGTAATCTTGTTCGTATTGTATCGTACGTGCAGTGCTTTTCTGTGTTCCCGTTTGTAGGCAGGAACTATTAATCGCAACCTGAGAGGGGGCTCACTGTAAAAAGAAAAAGACACTTTGAACTTATGTTAAAGAACTTCTTCATACTTTTAATCACACACTGAGTAAAAACACGCTCTTTATTTAAACTCCGGTTTAAATACAGAGTGCCAACAAGGTACCGACAAGTACCACTAGATTTTGAAATATCAACGCATTCTTGGAATTTTTTTTTTTTTTTGTTCTCGTCAGATATCTTTTGTGTTTCTTTCATTCACGCTGTGTTTAGCTCATTTGCTTTCTTCGTCTCTTACTCTGTAGCAAAAATAAGCCATTGGTTTTTAAAGAAAGTGGAATGCTGGGAGGTAGATTCAGCAATGTGGTGCCAAAGTCAAAAAGTAACCCCTAAAAAAAAAAAAAAAACAGTTGCTTGACTTCTTCCTCCTCCTCCTCAAATTTCCCCTTTTTCACTCCATTTTGGAAACGTATGTAATTCAGGGTAATGTAGCAAGCAAAGAAAATTGGACGTTCGGAGTCAACGGTCACGGTACAACCTCAGATGGTGAGAGTTTTGAGCATCACGTAGCTGATTCTGCCTTTCAGAAGAGTTTCACTTGGTTGTTGAAGCATATCGAGAGGTAATGACGAAGCATCTCTGTAAAGCCTCTTATTTATTCATATGAAAAGTGTCATGGTGGCGAGTCTGTGACAAATTACTGATAGATTCTATCGATTGCTGTTTTATAGACAATGGAGAATAACACTTTATTTAGGGAAGGGAACGCAGTCATTTCTTCAGGGCAGGGGGAATGTAATTGTGAGATATGAACAGTATAGTTAAAGCATTTATTTGAAAAAAAATATTTATTTCAATAGTATAAAAAAAGAGAAAATGTCTTTATTTTATTATAGCTTTTATTAATACATTATGTCTCTTTATTTTAAAAGTCTTGGATTTTGTATTACTTAAAGTGAAGTGCTAGGACAATAATAGATTCACAACAATAACTCCACACACTGTAAACCTGCGATACCAGTATCAGTCAAACTGTAATAGTACGGGAAAGTGCCATTTTTTTTTGTTTTGTTTTGTTTTGCTGGAGACACTGATGATGTGCCATGACGCTTCTTTTGGGTGACAGTTTCTGGTTTGTGGCTTTAAGGAAATGTAACCGTCCTCCATGATTCAATATCCCAACAGCTCCAACACTTTGATTTATCTCTTGAGGGAAGGCGGGTTGTTCTTTTTGGTCCAGTGACGAGAATTATCGACTCGCAGAATGCACAACAAGACTTCACAAATCAGCTGTTAATATTTCCGGGGGGCAGGAGGTCAATATCTTCTAAATATCTTCTCGACGGAAAGCCTTCAAACAGTGTGGATCAATACAGTGTGTAAACTATTTATGTAA